TACTCTTTCTTGTTTACATAAATGACTTGCCAAATTGCTTAAAAAGTGCGGATTGTGACATGTTTGCTGATGATACTCAATTAGGAACGGCAAATAAGGATGTTAAAGTAATTTCTGAAACGTTAAATGATGACCTAGCAAATATTTCAGTTTGGATGGCGGCCAACAAGCTGAGCCTGAACCAAAACAAAACTGAATATATGTTTATTGGATCACATCAAAAACTTAAACAGTGTAACTCAGAATTGCAAATAAAAATTGGAGATACGCCTATTCAACGAGTAACCGTTACTAAATCACTGGGTATGATGGTAGATGAGACCTTAACATGGCATTCTCAAACAGATCTAATTACAAAGAAAGTGAACAAGGGTCTATACGTCCTTAGACGATTAAGAGATTTTGTTGATGTAAGGATTCTAGTAACAGTTTACAAAACCCTAATTCAACCACACTTTGATTACTGCTCGCAAGTATGAGGTTGTCTTGGAATTACCCTTCAAAACCAATTGCAACGTTAACAAAATAGAGCAGCACGTATCATTACAAAGCGTGGGTATGAATTTAGATCAGCCGATATACTTAAAGAATTAGATTTACCTAATTTAAGTCTCAGAAGAAATAATCAATTATGTACTACTATGTATCAGGTAAATAATAATATGGTGCCTGATTACCTAATTGATTTATTCACAAAAACCAGTACACTTCATAATCATCAAACTAGGCAGGCTGAATTTAACTTTGCACTCCCGAGGCCAAGTACCAACTTTTGTAAAAAATCATTCTCGTACAGAGGAGCTGTAGCTTGGAATGATTTATTACCTAATATAAAAAATATGGGTTCATTGTCAACCTTCAAAAGGGCTCTAGTGTCATATAGTGGTAATAATTCTTAATAATCAATTTATCTTTTTTCTTTTTCTCTTCGATTTTATTGTATTAACTTAATAAAATATTTTTATAATTGCATGTAATTATTCATACATATATAGCACGGCCTATTGGAAGATCACATCTTGTAAATATTTTAGTTTTTGTCTTTGTGAAATAGTACCGTGGGTAAATAAAGTTTAATTGATTGATTGATTGATTGATTGATTGATTGATTGATTGATTGAAGAAAGTATTTTATAAAATAATATGTATATAACGCGTGCTCTGATTGGTCGAAACCCGTGTTTGGATCAGACCATCCAAACAAGGAAATTTAAAGCGAAAGTTTTTTAAAGTGAAATTTTAACACGGAAAGTTGTTATTTTATAAAACAATTATTTTATGGTTTCCGTGTTTAGATGGCCTGATCCAAACAGGCGGGAATGTTGCTTGAGTTAAGAAAAGCGCGCAAAATCACTCGCCTTCGGCTCGTGTTCGCGCGCTTTTCTTAACTCTCATAACATTCCAGCCTATTTATTCGATAATAGCAAAAATAGCTAATTTTCAAACCGCTATAACTCTTCGGTTTTATGGAGTAAATTTCATAGATATCTTATATACATCTCTTTTAGTAAAATTGAAGCCAAGAATATTCCAGCGGTTACCCCCATTTGAATAGATGGCAGGCATGTTGGTCGTTCCCACTCGCTAATAAACGCTTAAAAACAGCAATAATTTTCATCATTTGAATACTTTTGGAAAATGTATTTGGAATATGGTTAACTTAATATTTAAGTTCCCTGTTTAAGAAATAGGAAGTATACGAATCTTCTCTCATTTCATGGGAACGACCTGAGAGTGCAATCACGGCTTCAATTTTTGAATTGCAGAATAATTAGATGCACTATCTAGTGTATATAAGATATCTATGGTATAAATTCATGTTTTAAAGTGTCAATATAAAGAGTAAACATTCCTGAATTCACTGATGTGATTTTATTTTAGTTTCCTTGTAAAAAAGTACAATTTACTCCAGAATATTTCAATGCCACTTTTCCAACAACCAAAACATGCATAAATACAATGAGAATTTAACATCAGTAAAATGCGATATATATACAAAATTATTCAAAACTTCGTTTATTAAATTACTAAACAAAAAGGTTATCAAAACATACCTTTGAGAAAACGAAATATTCGCAGCAAAAATCGCAATATATTTCAACGGTTTTTAATCGAACGGCGCGTTGAGAATAAATAGCTTGAATAATGAGCCGCGCTGATTCGCGCGTTGCATTTCGGGAAGACCCTAATTCCTCCTCTGAGTCTAGGCTTAGTATGTAATTATAGGCAAGGGACGGGTCATGATTTATGGTGGAGGTTGGCACCGAAGAGAAATGTTTTTCCTGGCAAAACTTTTGCTGACCCAACCATTAAAAAGTCAAAAATTTGATTACCCAACCTCAGATATCAATTAAAAAATAAATACCCACCCCTGGTCAAAACCTTTACAAAAGGATACCATTCAGTTGTCACACATGTCCTTTACCACTTCTGTGACTGTGTGACACGAGTTTAATAACGGATTGTACAATTTTCTGCAGTCTAAAGTTTCTTGTTGTCTGCACATGTACTTTCTTCGGAGACACCATTTGTCTCCCAACAAATCGGAAAATGATCAAGAAAGTGACTCTGATTGATTTACCCAACCTTTTACTTACTCAAAATTTAGTTTACCCAACCCTTTTCTCTTCGGTGCCACCCCCCGACTTAAATAATGATCGGTCCCTAAGCGCAATATTTGATGCAAAGCGAATTTAATCTGATCCTGTCTCCACATGTAAATTTGCGCTATAATAAAGGAATCTTGGTCAACAATCGATGAACATCGACTAATCATATTGAATAAATCCTAACATATCCACAGTGGTTGAAGCTGCTTCCAAGAAGCGGGCATCTTTTAAAGTTTTTGTTTGACAACCAAGCACTATAGCAGTAGCAGAGAATTGAATTGCTTTCGACTTTTCAATATTAAATTCGGCCGGTTCGGTTCCATAATTTGAGCTACACTCCCAAACAAAAATCGACGATACTACTTATTATTGGATTAATTTTTGTATTGTTATCACAAACTGAGACCCCACCCCCTCATATTAATGTTGATTATACCGCGGAAAAATAGTTAAAGCAATTGTAGTACGTTTAACATTGCTTCGTGCGGGAGGCAGGATGGGAGAGGGAGTGATTTTCAATGCTCAGCTAACCCCAGTATATTTTAATCTGTGACAGTTTCAAAGTTTGTTTATTTTTTTTTTTTTATTTAGTTACTTCACATTTTATATTTACATATATTTGATACAAAAATATAAAATAATAAAAATACAAAATGATTATACATTTAAAATTCAGATGCCATTTATTGTGTTTCAGATTCAAGTCGATCAACATCACCATTTCCAAAATACGCTGAATGTTTACCAAGCTGGGTATAAAAGCGAGATAAATGGATTGGACAAAACTCAGGATGATGAGTTGGATGACACTGACAGGTATTTAATGATAATTTTGATAATTTAAGTCCACTACCCCTCCGTTCAAGAAAACATCTATGTTGAAATTCGAAAATATGTACGCTTAAAAAATTTGCACTCAGTGCATGGTTCATGGGGAAATATCCAAAGAAATACATCATATTGAGCAACATATGTGCGGATTGTCGTATCAAATTATTTTCATGAAATACCTTTCTATAAATCCGTTTGTCTGACATAGTGATCAGTCTAAAACCTGGAGACTGGTAAACGCGAGACTTAAATCGCCAGGGTCACCTGCAGTAACAATCAGTGTCACCACTTTCAGTATGCGTCACATCCGGTGAATATGAAATGAGATATTCACCACACGAAATACGCGTCCCAGCATGTTAACACGAACTCAACAGACACAAAGATCATGAAGACATGAACTAGAATTGGCGGTACTGCAAAAATCATGATTATCGTTTTGGAAATTATCACGTACGATATCCGATAATATCGCGATGAATGCAATATATTAGTCTCCTGCGCAGACGTTGTTAGTGGCCGAGGCCCCACCTAACGTCTGCTCACATTCGCTACACATTTGACTTCCCGGCAATTAACCAATCACAATCATGTACACGATAATTGGAACATCGACCTTCGCTGACCTTCACATGCATGGGCTATTTATATCAACAAGTCTGTAGTATTTTTACATATGAAAGTTTTAATACTACGCATCAGGCTTTTCATTCTATTATAAACGAAAAGAAGGATGTTTTCGTTAATCTCACAACTGGCGCAGGAAATCACTTATTTATCACGCCGTTACCGAACTTATTCGATGTAATATTCGGATTTAAATATTTAAACAAATTGTAAACGTGTAGACATTTAGTATTAATGGTGGTTTTATATTATATGCATTACCAAGCTGATAAACAATTTTTCAACAGAAGCTGCTATTTAAGGCGAAGTGTGAGAATTTAAGATTATTCTTTTAAATTAATATTCAATTTCACAAATAGATACATGGTATAATATTTATACTTTGTAAAACTCTTTGCCTTGACGTTCTCTAAAAGGCGACAGTAATTACCTTTTCCAATTGGCCCGTCACCTACTGTATGCGCTACATCATAGATAATTAAAGATAAAATTTAAATAAACAGCTTTAATAAATTTACATCAACAGAAAACCAAGGCGCTTTATTGAAGCTATGAATTATCACCCAGAAATGGAGGTCATACAAACATGTGCTCTTTGAAATTGTGGAGAATATTCTAAATCATTCTAAAAACATTTTCTTACTTATGCCCAAAACTATTATCATATAACAGAAGGGCAAGAGTAAGTAGCATAGTACGTTTTTCAAATTTTTCATAAAAACAGTTCTTACACGTACAAACGGTTTGACCTCCTCCACACAAATGGTTTGCCTCTCAACC